TTGTTATTATATAATAATAAAGAAAACTTATTTTGTAATTTGAAAATAATTTCTTATTTTTTTATGAGCAAATCGAACTTTCCTAAAGTTGTTAGAAAATATGCGAATAATTTTAATGATTGTCAAATAATTTTCCTAGTTTATATGTATTACATAACAACTCATTTGCCTAAAAGAATAAAAATGCAAAAAAAGTTAGAAAAAAACCAGGACTCGAATTTAAGACTTTCAGCATTCTAGCCGATCGTTTTACTCGCTCGTCCACGTTTACTATTAGAAAATTGCTTCTATCGGCTCGATAGATTACGCACATGGAAACTTTAAGCAATTTTATTTCATTAATTATTTGACATCGGCATAAGTTACTATGTCTTGTAAAATACATATAGTAAAATTATAGAACAAATTTTTGCAATAACAGTTCTGTGTATTTCACTTTTACGAATAAATTATGTACATATTATTGCTCAACGGAAACCGCAAGAAGGTGGTGGTCTCTTCCGTCATGAGATAATGTAAAAAATTTGTTTTTTTTTAACATTGCAATAATTTTAATATGTATAAATTAAAAAATATATAAGTAGATAAAGCTCGTATGTCTTAGATAAAACAAGGGCAAGAGCCAATAACCGAACAACAGGATTCTAAATAATATAGTTTAATATTCCGTCAAAATAACTGGGACGTTTCGTGCTTTACACAGATTTTTTTAATCAATCAAATAAATCCCTCTAATTAACTGTGTAATGCATTATAATAATCTCGTTACATAAAAAATCCGTCGAGAGATGAAATAAATTAAAAGGAAGTTTAATATCATAAGATTATAACATTAATTAATAATTATATCATTTTTATTATGGAATTTATCCTCTCTATTTGATTTAAATCATAGCGGTCGTTTTTACTTTCTTAATATTAATAATTACAGTATGCAAATTACATGGAGTTATTAAGGGAATCCTGCAGCCGTATGATTTACCGACATTATCGTTTTTAGATGGATCTTTTAATTGGCTTTATAGAATTGCAAAAATCTTTTACAGAATTAAAGTACGCATAAAAATCTAACTACACAAACGCGATTTTATATCAAAAACACGAAAAAATTAAAAATATTACTTATTTGGGCACATACAGCTGTCACCTAACGACAATATTTGGTTAAAACAAAAATTCTGCAGTTTATACATACATAATGTTTGTCACCTCCCCTTAGGAAAACATGTAGGAATAATATCGTGCAAGTAGAAGTAAGATTCAATACGTACAAAAAAAGATCCATCTAAATTTTATTTTAGTAATGCAAATACGGATGCAGAATGACAAGAAGAGCAACGTTGCGTGCAACCGTAGTTGCCGGATCTTGTCTGCAATCGCAGCCAGGGCCGCACGGACTGGATCGTCTAAAAAGACGCAGACCTTGTATATTTAGAGAGCGTAAAATAGTGATCACTGCCCTGAGATAAATCGATAATATGAATAACGCGGTTTAGAACCGGGATTAGAAATGTCGACATTATCAACATTTTTAGTTCCGCTTGGGATGGCGTTGTATTCGCGTTCGAGTTCGCCTGTCACTGCAGGATCCCCTTAAGAAGCCACATCAAGTTGAAAGCCCAAAAAACCGATTAACAAATAGTCGAAATGTATGCGTGGTCAAACTATAAATTTAATTAGAGAGTTGTTAACAATTAAAACTTTAAAAATAATTATTCGTTTAATGGCGAGAAAAATCGTGTTAAGAGGCTGAAAAATGTGGAGCGAACGGCCTTAATCATTGCGTGTCAAAAAATTTTCCGAATTCAAGCTATGTAATACTCAAGTAGTAAAAAATCTATAAATTAAGTAAAAATTGAATTCTTTAAAACTGAGACATAGAAAAGTAGTAATTCTCAAAAAGTAGACTTATAGTCTTATAAACTCGAATTAACATCAGCTAAATTCTCAAATTAACGAAGGCTCCTATGCTTCAGTTTCAAAAAGCGACTGAACGAGCAAAGACTCAGAAATTTGTCAGTAAAGGTTGGAATTGGTGGTGATAAATAAAGCTAGAGAAAGTAAGTTATTAATTTAATAATTATCTCTGGTGGAAAAATTTGACTGAAAATATAATGAAATTCTACTATCAATTGATCTCTTTTTCATTATTATTCCATAAATATCATTATGAAAGTTTCAATTGTTAATTAATTTCAGTTAAATTCAATAACTTTCATGATATCTAATATTTTAACAAATTTTTCATTATTTTTCAACAGTATAATTTAATTTTTCTTATATTTCACAGTATTTACATTAAATTTCATAAAGAAAATTATGATTTATTTTGAAATATATTCAGTAATTTTTCAATAACTTTTATTTCATTTATCATTGTTCAGGATTTTCCCCGCGATTGATATCGCTGCCGCCATCCCTGAGCCGCCCCCTGAACGAGGCGACTTCGCGCCGCTCCCCCGCGTCACTCCAAGACCGCGCGGTCTCTCGCGTCGCGCTATCGATCCAGACATGCGAGGATCTCGTGATCCTGCGAAACGCGCCTATTGGCCCTTTCAATTGTCGCGTCGCCGAATGCTCCGACAACGGGCCCGCGAGAGCGCGGTCCCTTCAGTGGAAGATAATCGAGCGGTTCAAGCGGTCCTCTTGCCGACTTGCACCCGTACGTATAGATTTCTACTCCGGTTCACGCAGTCGAGCCTCGCCGTCGTGTTTCCGTGAAACTCAGCAAGTTCGTTCCACGCGGATTTACGCCCCGTCGTGCATCCGAACAGAAATTGTTGTGCCATCCGTGCACTCGCGAATCGTGTCTCACAGACACTCGCAACCGCGCTATTCACGCGCTCGTTCCGCTCTCACTGTGCGGCGACGAACATTAACGCCTCCGGGCGTCCGCAGCTTTACCCTCGCTGCACGCGAGTGGTGACCATTCGGTTCAGCATTGCGTAATCGCGCCTCAATACAAGTTTTGTATAATTCTGTGCATCATTAATAAACGATTGCTGTGCATTATCTGGGAAAGCAGTGTCCGCTCATTCTCCGCACTCCGGATCCCTGTCGGGGTCGACTCGGCCTCCTCTTACGCCAATTGGCGAAGCCGGAGTTACGCCCGGCAACCGCAAATTCGCCAACATAAATTCTGGTCCTTCGAGCCGGATCGGAGTGCCACGGTGCTATACGCCTAAGTGACGGACGCTCAACCAAAATGGAGGACCTCATGGCGCAACAGAAAGTCGCAATTCATGCGATTGATCGAGCCCTCGACAATTTTAAGAAAATCGGCAAAACGAATTACACACTCGGAGTGGTTCGCAACCGATTGCTGCAACTCAAAGAGAACTACGCTCGGTTTGAGCTTCTCCACGGCAAGATTCTGGCTGCCGCCACCAAGGAGTTCATCGCCACGAGCCGATACTTCACCGAGGATCGTTTCGACAAGTGCGAGGAGACGTTCCTGACGACATCCGACTACATGGCTGAGTGGATGAGCAGATTGGAGTCGCCGCCGCAAGTCAACCCTGGGTCATCCCCCGTAAGCCAATGTAATATCAGCGCATCGCCGCGTACCGCGTTTCAGCTTCCGCGCATTAATTTACCAAAATTCGCCGGAGAGTTCCGCGAGTGGGAAGCGTTTCGCGATCAATTCACGGCGCTCATTATTAACAATCGTGACTTGTTAGAAGTCAATCGGTTGCAATATCTGCATTCGTGCGTGAAAGGTGAAGCCAGCGATGCCATACGCAATCTGGCATTAACGGATACAAATTTCAAAATCGCGTGGAATTTGTTGCTCGCGCGATACGATAATCACCGACGGTTGGTGCACGAGCACATACATGCTCTGCATACGCTTCCTCCCGCGACCTCAGATTCCGCCGCCGCTCTCACCGCGTTGCGCGATAAAGCAAGCGTTTCAATTCAGTCTCTAAAAAACCTCGGCCGTGCGGTTGACACATGGGACGACATGTTGGCTTACTTGCTAGTGCAAAGGCTTGATAAAGGCACCCGTAATGCATGGGAATTAAAACTTGGAGATACGTTAGATTATCCCACATACGAGCAGCTTGATAATTTCTTAAAGTCGCGAATACGTGCGCTCGAGAATATTCTCCCGGCTTCGCCTCAAGTCAAGGGCAATAAACAACATTCCTCAGTTCAAGCTCACGCAGCTAATGCCTGTGCGAACAAGTGTCCCATGTGCCAAAAGACGCATTTCTTGTCCGCGTGTCCGGACTTTTAAAATAAAAGCGTCGCTCAACGGCGTGATCTCGCGAAGAAGTTTCATTGTTGTTACAATTGCCTGAGCACGCGGCATAATCGCGATGCGTGCTCAAGCAAGAATACATGCCGTCAATGTCAGCAGAAGCACCATACGCTTCTTCACACGACCGATGTGAATAACAATAGCTCGACAACCGAGAACTCACCTTCATCCACGGACGCGAAAACAGATTCAACTGACGAAGTAACGTCACATTTATTGGCTCACACGAGCTTTTCGAAATCGAATATTTTGCTAGCCACTGCCTGGATTAAGGTGAGCAGTCTCAGCGGTCGACATACTATAGTTCGTGCGTTATTGGATCAAGGTTCCGTTACAACTTTGATCACCGAACGTTTAGCTCAGCGACTGCGTCTCCCGCGTACGCGCGTCTCCGTCTCTATCACTGAAATCGGCGAGACCGCTGCCACCGCACGCAGCGCAGCTACCGTTTACGTGTCAGCGCGTGACGGCACGGGCCCGCGGCCCTCCGTCTCCGCTCTTGTTCTCAAGTCGCTTACGACTTACATTCCGCACCGGGTGCCGGATATAATATAACCAAGAAGTCGTACATTCGCGAACTCTCGCTAGCCGACGACGATCCGACTAGCGCAGCGCCGATTGACGTCATCATCGGTGCTGACTTGTATAGCGCGATCTTATTACCGGAAGTCCGTAGTCGCGCCCCTCATGAGCCCGTCGCTCAAAACTCTATATTCGGATGGTTCCTGTCCGGCCCGATGCCGGTACCGTCGCAGTCACGGCCGGCTCGCATTCAAACGCACCACTGCACGGTGCTGTCGGAAATCTCCGACCAGTTGCGACGTTTCTGGGAGGTCGAAGAACTTCCTCAGCAAACATATCTCTCACCGGAGGAGATTCGATGCGAAGAGCATTTCGTATCGACGCATTCTCGTGCCTCCAATGGACAGTATATAGTGCGGTTACCGTTCAAATCGGGGCCCCCTATCAACATAGGCGAATCGAAATCGTCCGCAATCGCGTTGTATTCGCGTCTCGAGTCGCGGTTGAAGTCAAATCCGGATCTCGCAAAAGAATACAACGAATTTCTCGCGGAATACGAGCGTCTCGGACACATGGTCAAGGCGCCGCGAGACGACCCTTCCGATCGGGACCGTGGTCAATCGGGACGGTGGTCAATAGGGACCGTGGTCAATCGAGACCGTGGTCAATCGGGACGGTGGTCAATCGGGACCGTGGTCAATCGGGAACGTGGTCAATATCAACGTGGTCAATCGCAATGTGGTCAATTTCAACGTGGTCAATCGGAACCGTGGTCAATATTAACGTGGTCAAACGGGACGCTCCCGGCACGAGGCGGGCACGTGAGACCCTACCGGCGCCCGGGTGGCCACAGCGGTTCTGCCGTCTTGTTACCACAACCATCTCCTGGTGTGTGACCGGCCCTTCTCCGCTCCCCCGCCATTACCGCCTTCTCCTGGTGTGCGACCGGCCTTTCTCTGCCGAATGCCACGGATCGACAACGTCGCTATCGCCTCATCGCTGTGATTGCGTGAAGCCAACGACACCGGCGCCTTGGATTCCGTCGTCGTCGAGACAGTTAATGCGTGAAGCCAACGTTTCCGGCGCCTTGGGTCCCATCGTCACCGGGGCTTTGGATTCTACCCACCGTTTACCTGTCTACAATAATGTAAAAGTAGGATAGTAATCCGTCGCGTGCTATCATTTCCTAACGCGCGTGTCGTTTATATTGTTTAACGCTTGTGTCGTATAACGCCTATGTCGCTTATATTATTTAGCGCGCATGTTGTTTATGCTACTTATTGCTTTTGTTTTGCTAATAACTTACAGTAAATTTAAAACAATGTCGGACGCGGCTCTTACAGCAGCCCAAGCCCGCGCGGAAGCAGCCGAAGCTCAGCTCGCGCAATTACGAGCTCAGCTGAACGCTCAAAGTCCTAACACAAATATCTCAGACGCGATCGATGATAATATTCAAATTCCGCGTATAGATAGTTACAGGGTTCCAAAGATTCCCCCGTTTTCTCAAGTCGACCCAGAATTGTGGTTCATCCAGGCCGAACTTTCCATGAGAAACGCACGGATTACTGTAGAGTCCACTATGGCCGATACCGTACTCGCCGCACTTGATGTCGAGGTATTGGGATGTGTAAGGGACATAATTATTGTAAAACCTACCCCAGAAAATATTTATGAGCAAGTTAAAGCTCGAATTATCGCGACATATGCATCTTCGGACGAAACAAAATTGCGAAAACTGTTAAGGGGACAAGTCGGGACCGATGGAAAACCTTCGTTAATCCTCAGCCGATTGCGCGGTCTTAATAACGGGAAGATAGATGATAGTGTAATAAGATCAATTTTCCTGGACCAACTACCACGCGAACACCGTGCCGTTATGGTGGCCACGGGAGCCACCGACCTCAACGGACTAGCCGAGGCCGTTGACCGAATGGCTAAGAGCGCCTTCGGAGGCGAATACGCTTCCGCCGTGACCAAGGGGAACACACTCCCTCCCGCAAAGACCGAGATTCAACAACTTATCGAAAAAATCGAAAAGCTGGAAAAAACAATAAATTCGCGTTTGCGTTCGCGATCCAACTCCCGCAGGCGTAGGACCTCAACCTCGCCAAACAGAGCGATCACACCCGCGCTCTGTCCGGCTCATACCAAATACCCGGATAATCCGACCTCGTGTCGAACATGGTGCTCAAAACATGAGACTTGGAAAAGCCAAAAAAACTAAGCTCGCCCCCCCGTGTGGAGATGGTCGACAAGGGTCTCCAAATTTCTAATCGTCTCCACGTCCGTGATCGTGCCAGTGGCCAAATGTTCCTTATCGATACAGGCGCGGATATCTCTCTTGTACCCGCTAACGATAGGATCAAGGGAAAGCCCTCTGAATTAAAGCTCTTTGCAGCAAATGATACGCGTATCGACACGTTCGGGGAATCTCTTCGTGAGCTTGACCTCGGTTTAAGACGGCCAATTCGATGGAATTTTTGCATTGCCGCAGTTCCGTACCCCATCATTGGTGCTGACTTACTATCGCACTACGGGTTAATACCAGACTTAAAACGACGACGTCTTATAGACTCCACTTCTAAGTTATATACCCTCGCGATTAAAAAACCAGCCTCGATACATTCGATTAATACGATTAAATCTTCCTCTGAGTTTTCCAAAATTCTCAAGGACTTTCCGCAAATAACAGGAGCCCTTCCCCTCGCCCCGCCGTCCAATTGTGACGTGTTTCACCATATTATCACCACCGGCCCTCCAGTCGCTGCGCGCGCTAGGCGCCTTCCTCCTGATAAACTTAAGGCCGCAAAGGCCGAGATCAGAGCTTTAGTCGAAGCAGGCATTTGCCGCCCCTCTAGCAGTCCATGGGCCAGTCCCATTCATTTAGTCCGTAAAAAAGACGGCACCTGGCGGGTGTGCGGCGATTACCGCGGTGTAAACGCAATCACGCGACCTGATAGATACCCCACCCCCCACCTGCATGACTGCTCCGTTAATTTACACGGTAAAACAATCTTTTCATCCCTCGACTTATATAAAGCCTATAATCAGATACCAATGGCTCCTGAGGACATTGAGAAAACAGCTATCATAACCCCTTTCGGGTTATTCGAATACTTATTTATGACCTTTTTCGTAACGCCGGTCAATCCTTTCAACGATATATAAATCGCGCCTTAGGCGATCTAGATTTTGTTTTTATTTATATGGATGATATCCTAATTGCTTCTTCTTCCCCAGAGGAGCATGCTAAACATTTACGCATTGTATTCCAAAGGCTTAAAGATTTTCACCTCCGCCTTAATGTTGAAAAATGCGTATTCGGCGCACATAAACTAAAGTTTCTCGGGTATATAATAAATGGTAAAGGAATCAGCCCCATCCCAGAGAAAGTTGAGGCGATTACCAAATTTCCTAGACCCAAAACCATCGCCGACCTACGCCGTTTTCTCGGCATGATAAATTTTTACCGTCGCAACATCCCTCGCGCGGCAGAAGCTCAAGCACCACTAAATTCATTACTAGTCGACTCGCGTAAAAACGATAAGCGCGTAATCGTATGGTCTGACGAATTAATCGAAGTGTTTGAAAAGACCAAAAACGGCCTCGCTAACGCTGCAATGCTGGTACATCCCCATATTGGCGCGGAACTCCGTATAGTCGCGGATGCCTCCGATTTCGCCATGGGGGCAGTTCTTAAACAGAAAAAACGGGATACTTGGGAGCCCTTAGCATTTTTTTTGCACAAATTTTCCCCCGCGCAAACTCGGTATAGCGCTTACGACCGAGAGCTCACGGCAATTTTTGAAGCCGTTAATTACTTCCGTCATTTTGTAGGACGTGAGTTTAAAATTTTGACCGACCATAAACCGCTCATGTATGCGTTTATGCAACGGTCTGACAAGGCGTCCCCGCGACAACTACGCCAATTGTCATCAGTTCACAACGCATATCGAACATGTCGCTGGTTCACAAAATGTTGTCGCGGATTCGCTTTCGCGGATCGATTCCCTGCGTTTGCCGGTTGAATTTAATCTTAATGAGCTCGCCGATCTGCAAAAGAACGACGAGCAACTCAAGTTGATTGCTAACGCCCCCGATCATCCTTTAAAGTTGAAGAAAATTCAGTGGGGCCCAGATCACACAACTGTATATTGCGAAATCTCGGGCGAAGCTATTCGGCCATATGTCCCCGCGTTAAAGTATTTCAAATGTTTCACAACCCAGCCCATCCGAGTGGCAAAATTACCGATCGTACTATCCGACAGCGTTATGTCTGGCCTGACATGCACCGCGATATCGCTAAATGGTGTAAAAATTGTATCGAATGTCAGCAAGCGAAAATCTCTCGTCACGTAAAACCAACTCCTGAGCACTTTGTTGCTCCCGACGGGCGATTTGATCAAGTACATATTGACATTATCGGCCCATTACCTCCTTCTGAGGGTTACTCT